CCCCCCCCCCCCCCCCAAAAAAAAGTGTCCCCATTGCCTCATAACAATTGCTCCATTTCATCTCATATAAGTAAATCACGTCCAATTGGAGAATACATTTTCTAATGGCTCCAGCTCGACTTTTCGACTGATCCGACTTGGGTTTGATATGCTCGAACTCTTTTCTACAATGTTCGACTCTATGGGAGTCGTTTTCAGTACTTTCAGATGCGTTTAAAGTTAGTATGATTACTTTTAGCTAATTTTAAGTTATTTGGAGCTAAGTTTAGATTACTACATGCAAAATAGGTTAGCCAAATTTTAAAGTAGAACTCTTTAAGTTATAATTTGGGACTCCTTTGGTAGAATTAAACTTTAAAAAACAGATTTAGTCTAGCATCAAAGGAGTGGAGTGGCTTCGGCTTAGGCCAACCAAATAAATGGTTCTATTGTTGGCTTGGTTGGACAAATTATATGATGTATGATGACGCTTGCCTCGTGCCCCTTGTACGTGTCATAATTGCATGATTTTATGCTATGATATGAAATGTTATGTAATGTTGAAATATATATATGTAGTGGTATGCTATGAAAATGATATGAAACATGTTATGATACGGGATATGTGATAATTGACATGTTTATGATATGATATATTGTGATGCGATATGTTATGGTATGATATGTATATGATGAAAATTGTTATGTCTGGAAGCATGGAATGTTATGATATGATATAGTTATGTAATTTGAATGATATGATATGATTGACATGAAAAACGGCGAACTAGCATGAAATACAACCCTGGTGTATACATGAAAGATATGATAAACGATATGTGAAACGATAAGATATGTACGGTATGCTAGCAGGGTTGTATTAAATGATAATGAAAATGGAAAGAGGTTAGGACCTCATGCATTATTGTGTGCTCATGCATTGGGAGATACCCCTTACCCTTCACGATAGTATGGATGCATACGTTACGAGGAAGGAAAACGATCATTATGGTTATCATAATGCTGCAATGACCAAATAGGAAATCGGTCATTATGTTTATCATAATGCTACGACGGTCAGGCAGGAAAATGATCATTATTTTTAACCTAATGTTGTCGTGATGGTTACTAATTCTAATGGGTGTCCGACCTAAGGAGCTCCTAGAATATGCTCACCCGATAAGGAAAGTGGCCTAGCGGTGTGCGAATTGACTGGTGAGTCCATACTCGCACATATGGGCTGTGTGTAGAGTATATGGTACACATCCAAGTTACCCGTTAGGATAGTTCCATAGAAAATAGACGGATATGATATGTTCCGTCATTTCATTCGCATGTTCTTGCATTTAACCCCAAATAGTGGGGTCACTTACTAAGTATTTCTTTAAATACTCAAACCACGTGCTACTCCTATTTCAAATTAAGGCAAATCATTCTTGTATGGCTGACGATGACAAAAAAAACCCAAGACCATGGTACATGCATACGGTAGTCGTATTTATTTTTTTAGACTTAAGCTAGAATATGATGTTTTTAATTTAAACGTTTATTTATTTTATTTAGTCTTTTGTTGGGTCATTTTTAAAGGTGATTTCAAAACACGTAAGTCCATGACTGTGTTTAAGATGGAAGTGACGTTTTATGAAAGTTTAAATGAAGTATTTTTACATTCAATGTTCATGATATGTATACGACCTTAAATTAAGTAGAAAATTTCGGTTTGTTACAACAAAGGAAAAATAAAATTCTGGTCACCCAAATTCTTGGGCAACCACTCCCAAAGACATGCCCAATTCCCTCGTTGTAATAAACTTAAAATGCTAAATGTTAATTTAGGAAATTTGTTAGAAGAGGTTAATTTGAAAAGTCATTTGAAAGAAAAGGCCAAGAGCTTTGTAGGAAGAATGGTAGGTTTATAAGTGTCTCTCATACCTATTATTAGAGTTAGAAAACTTATAAATACCTCATCCTTCTATTGTAAAGTCAGAGCAAGAGAGAAAAGAAATATAGAGCAAGAGAGCAAAAAGAAATAGAGTAAAGGAAAATACAGAGAAGTAATAGAAAAGACGGTTCCTTGTCTCTTTGTCTCTCCTCTCTCGACATCTCCTTCATAAGTACGCGAGTAGTATTTTCACAAAATGGTATCGGAGCGTTCTATTGTTAGTGTGTGTGAGATTTACTTCACAAATGAGTGAGTTTTATTTAACAAATTTGTATCAGAGCCGATGATGAATGTGATGGGTCAAATGTCGCTACCACGACTAACGAAGACGAACTACAAGAATTGGAGCATCCAAATGAAAGCTCTTCTTAGTTCTCAAGATGCATGGGAGGTGGTCGAAGAAGGTTTCGAAGAACCAAAGAATACCACAGGTTATACAACGGCACAAAACAAGGCGTTAAAAGAGTTGCGATAAAAGGACAAGGCGACATTATACATGTTGTTTCGAGTCATTGACAAGTCCAGCTTTGAGAATATTGCTAGTGCAACTACTTCAAAAGAAGCGTGGGACACTTTAGAAAAAGTGTTCAAAGGAACCGACTGCGTGAAGCAAGTGCGTCTCCAAACTCTTCATTGCGAGTTGGAGAGCATGAAGATGAAGGAGTTAGAAAATGTATTTGATTACATCACGTGTGTTTAGACTGTGGTAAATCAACTAAATCGAAACGGAGAAATGTTACCCGAGACTCAGGTTATGGAAAAGATCTTGAGGTCATTAACCAACAACTTCGAGAATGTTATATGTGCAATAGAAGAGTCAAAGGACCTAGCGACGTTCACGATTGATGAGCTCGTCAGTTCTCTTGAGGCACACGAGCAACGTAAGAAGAAGAAAGCGAACACTCAATCAAGCACGTCAAACCAAGGCATCAATCAAAGATAAAACGGTACTCTACTCTCAAAATTTTTAAAGTAGAGATTGTGGTCGTGGAAGTCGCAGAAATGGTCGAGGTGGTCAAGGTAGCAGTAATAAAGGACATTATAATTAGAAGAGACAATCGAGCCCAACAAATTGGTGTGGAAGAGGATGCAGTCGAGGAAGAGGCGACCGATCAACCTATTCCAACATTCAGTGCTATAAATACCAAAAATATGGTCACCATGCGAATAATTGTATCTCCGACAAATGTTACAATTGTGATAGAATGGGGCATGTTGCAAAAGATTGTCAAGCCGAGAAAAAGGTGGAAGGAGCAACCAACCTAGCCTTAGAAGATGTAACAAATGAAGGTTTTCTCTTGATGGCTCAAAATGAAGACAACATCAACAACGACACTTTGTGGTACCTCAACTCAGGGGCAAGCAACCATTTGTGCGGTCAAGAGTACCTATTCAGAGGTGCAAAAGATTGAAGATGGTCATGTGTCATTTGAAGATGCGTCAAAAGTGGATGTCAAAGGCCAAGGTACGATACATTTCTTGCAAAAAAATGGTGTACTGGGTTCAATCCAAGATGTTTATTACATACCAGACCTCAAGAACAACATATTGAGTATGGGGCAACTCACAATGAAAGGTTACTCGATATTCTTAAAAAATCGCCTGCTACACTTGAAGGATAAGCAAGGGCGTTTGGTTGCTCGAGTCGAGATAGGAAGAAATCAGATGTACAAACTGAATTTAAGAAGCATACGAGAAAAGTGTTTGCGAGTTGACATAGAAGACAAGACATCACTGTGGCATCTTCGCTTTGGTCACCTACATCATGGCGACCTAAAGAAGTTAGCGAAGAAGAATATGGTGCATGGGCTACCCAACATGAACTTTTAAGGAAAATTTTGTGAAGAATGCGTGCTTAGTGTCACAATCACACTTTGATGGCAGCAGACTTGCGATTGTGCAGCACTCACTTCTCAGCAACAAGTGAGTTAAGCCTATTCGTTCTCGTATCACCTACGGTCAAGCAACGTATGCTTGAGCCTCTGGCCCCGGTTCAAGAAGAATGTTTTAGAAAGTGGGGGCAGAGAGATTTCGAAAGAGAGTTTTGAAAGCAAGATTTGAGAAATTGAAATTGGTGTTATATGGGAATGTAAGCAAAAGACAACAATAACTGCTTACTGCATATAACTATCGGGTAGGGAGAAGTTGACAACTAATCATATCCCCCTATAGTATATTTGGGGGCATTTTAGCCCTGGCAGGTGTAGACATGATTTTGGTGAATAGTCATACACCCTCATACTGACCCAATATGAAATGGTAAAGACCTATCTAGGATGAAAGCATGTAAAAGGAGTTTGGAACGGGCATGCAACCATGGACAACACGTCCTGGACAAGCAAGACCGGGACGTCTGTCATGCGGCTATTGACAACACACCTTGGACATGCATGACCATGACATCCTCCCCCACTCAATTGATTCGCATCCTTGTCAACCGACCCAAACAAGTAAGATTAGGACATCTATCATGCGGTTATAAGCAACATGCTTTGGACAAGCATGATCGTGACATCCTTCCCCACTCAATTGGTTGACGTCTCTGTCAACTGACTCGTTACAACTCTGTGTTGTAGGCTGAGGTTGACTTTTAGGTCTCTTCAATGTGTTTTCAGCTGATTTCAGTGTTGCAGAGTAAATTCTGTAAGGAGGTTTTGAAAACTGCTTCTTGGTTCGTTGGCTCTTGGCATCTCCTCCATCAAAGTTTCTCCTACATCATTTGCTTCGGGATTCTTCTTCTTTGTGTGAGGTCGTGTCACCTGTTTGAGCTTGATGTCTTTTACTTCGGAAGAGTAGAGTTTCATGTTACTAACGTGGACAACAGGGCTAGTCCACATCCATGGGAGCAAATGCATCCTACACGACGCCTTTCCAATCTTGTGAATAACTTCGACTTGTCCATAGTATTTTCTCACCAGTCCTCAACTTTTGTTGTTTTGATCTCGGAGTTGATCTAACCTCAACTTGATCAGAACTCTCTCTCCTTCTTGAAATTTTTGTGGTCGACGCTTTCAATCGACCCTTCTCTTTCTCTGTCTTGATGGTACTTCTACGTGACCATGAATTGTTTATGAGGTTTGTCTCTTCCTCCCTCCCTCAGCGGCAGTGTTGGCTTGGTGTCTCTCTTTAACCCTTGGGTGATCACTAATAGTTGTATTTGAGGGCCTGATGGACCCAACTG